CTTAAAATTTAAGTCGCCTTTTGCATTTTTGGAAATTTTTGTTCTAGGTTTCGGCGTCATGCTCGGTCACGTCTTTATGGAACCGGCCACCATTAACTATCCTTTTGAGAAGGGTCCAATCAGTTCTCGCTTCAGGTATCAATCTTTCCTTTAAGCTACATTTGTTTGGAATGGTTCATTATTAAATCTTGTTTCTTATGAAAGTTTATGAATTTGTAGAGGCGAGCATGCTTTACGCCGTTACCCATCGGGTGAAGAACGATGTATTGCTTGTAAGCTTTGTGAAGCTATATGTCCAGCGCAGGTTAGCGGGTTGAATGCACTCTCCAACCCTTTGTTCTGTTACGCACTAATCATTTAGGCAATTACTATCGAAGCAGAGGCACGACCTGATGGAAGTCGGCGCACTACACGCTACGATATTGACATGAATAAGTGCGTAAAGCTCGCCATACACCGTTCGATACTTCTTTACCTATCTCTACCTTTCAGGTGCATCTTCTGTGGTCTTTGTCAGGAAGCTTGTCCAGTAGATGCCATCGTCGAAGGGCCTAACTTTGAATTTTCGACAGAAACTCACGAAGAGCTGATTTATAACAAGGTTCGTCTTAGTAAAATTATTCGATCTCACCTACTATAGTTTACTTCTTTGCAAGACGTAGAGGCGTAAAGAAACAATGGAAATAAAAATAGTTTTATACTGGAAGATCATTTTGTTTGCAGGAAAAGCTGCTAACCCTTGGTGATCGATGGGAACCTGAGTTGGCTGCTAATATTCAAGCCGAGTTTTTGTACCGATAAACTAGCTAGCAAGCGACAAACTAGTTTTACTAGTATTTTGTTATTGTATTGTACAGTACATTGTTATTAGTCATCAGTACCGGTGCGGTTTTTCAAAAAACCTTAGAATATAGCTTGATAAATTCATATAGCCTGGTGGTTTGGTCAGTCTCTTCACGAGTTGCAAGAACTTATATCTGCCTAGTTTACTGATATGGCATTGTTATTATTTTCTGGAGCAGGTTGAAGATGACTGTGGCGACAGCAGCAGCAGCAGCAGCAAATAGTGCTGAAGATTTTCCCGAAGATGTAAAGGAAATGATGGCTCGGACTCGAAAAAATCCGATCTCATTGTTTTTGGAGATGTATATGCAGATATTCAAGTAAGTGGAATCTCGATTCGCAAGTCCTTCTTTGGAGGCTCGCTTTTGTGGAAATTATGTGTCCTTTCTTTTTTTCTAAATGCTTTAAAAACGGTCTAATATGGAAAATCACTATTTTCTCTATAGTGCTCTTGGAGCGAGCTCATATGTAAGAATCAGTATGTAAGGGTCTCTCTTTTGAATTTCATGAAATTCCTTATATTCTTCTTTATAGAGAATCGCCAAAAGTCTTTGTGCAATTGATTCCGGGTGAAACGAAGGGAGCGTAAGTCAAGCGACCACCGCAATATATCGTTGATAATGTATTCTTCAGGTTTATGTTCGCTGCTTCTGTCCGCATTGGTGACATAGAGGTGACAGGGTTTCCGCATCGTACGAAGAAAGTTGCAAAAATGGACTGCTTTGTGAAAGGCATTAAGGTCATATCTGCAGGGCTTATTCATTTCGGTCTCATTTCTTCTTTTTTCAGATTCTCTGTGAGCAGTTTTCAATGGAAATCGCTAAGGGCTCGATGGATATAGAATTCAAGCAGGAAACTACGTTTTTTGAGCTTCTTCGCAAGCATACCTATTCGAAGTTTTACAAGTGGGGTTTTTGTTAATCTTCTTTGCTTTCATTTAATGATTTTTGTCGTTTGTTTTTGGTTATAATTTTTGTTATTTTTATCACTTTTTTAT